ATGAGAGCATGAGATATCAGGACAGATGAACCAGAGATGGTATGTGACATACACACTATGGAGAGCCTCCAAAAAAGCCTGGAGAGCAAATCCAAGCAAACGTCCTGCACGTTCATCTAATTTTTTTTTTTAGATTTTATTCGAGAGAGAGAGAGAGAGAGAGAGAGAGAAAGAGGCAGAGACACAGGCAGAGGGAGAAGCAGGCTCCATGCTGGGAGCCGGATGTGGAACTCGATCCCAGGTCTCCAGGATCCTGCCCTGGGCCGAAGGCGGTGCTAAACCACTGAGCTGCTCCAACGTTCATCTAATCTATGCCTCCACAAAAGTCTCTCATTATTTTACCAATATTTGAGCAGAATGTGACTTACTGGCTTAGTCAACGTGGGGAAAGGCTGCGATGGGGCCCCTTCTGTCCGCCAAACGAAAAGCCTCAAAGATGCAAGAGGAAGGAAGTCAGAAATGATTCTTCCAAAGCAGGTACCATGAGACTATTTCTAAAGGGAGAACTCCTAATACCACGGTCACCACATTGTACAACTCCAGAGGATGCCATTCACACTCCAGACGATTTTAGTACATGGAGTGGCGTTGTGTACTTGTATGTGGCCATACACAATAGCTCTGCAGAATCATGTAGCTTGAAAAAAATCACTAGATAACAAGAAGTTCCTATAGTGGTCAATTTACTTATTTGTTTTTCATTCATAAGGAGCTCTGAATGCATACTACCATAAAAACACTCTTAAACGTGGATCTTCCAAAGTGTTCTCTTCCTTTCCTTCTCTGCTTAATATATTTTTGTGGGTACTAATGATCTAGGCTTATTTTATCACATTTTTGCTGTTAAGTCAGTGGTTCTGAATTGGAGGGAGTTAGTATAACAAAATTACTTGGGAAATGTTTTCAAAATACACCTGCCCAGTACATCAACAGAAGAATGGAGAGCAAAATCTGATATGTACACACACACATACACACACACTCTGTAATTCCATTTATATGAAGTTTGAGAGCTAGCAAAACTACTCCATGGTGGAGAGCTGATATGGACTTAAAAGTCACAGGAGGGAAATTTTTGTGCTGATGGACATTTTCTGTATCTTAAATTGGGTGGTGGTCATATGGATGCATGTATATGAAAAAAAAATCATCAAGTTCTGTGTACATTTAAGACTGTGCTTTTGATTGAATGTGAATTGTGTCGATAAAATACTGTCTAAAAACATGACAGATAGACGCATAGATACACCAACCCAAGCCTCCACCCTAGACTGAGGGAATAAGATAAATAAGATAGAGAGCAGGGGATACAGAGACCATGTGTATTTTTAAAAAGCTCCACATTATTCTTTCCCATGATTACTGTAAGCTTCCAAATATTCCTTTGGGAATTGGAATTAGACTCAGGATAAAAACAAATACATAATATATATGACTTTAACATTTGGAGAAGGTCCCTTGAGATCATCAGTTTTCCTAAAAGTCTGCTTACTTTCTAGTCTGCTTACTTTCCAGTTTGCTTTGATTGGGATCTTGTTTTTGTTTTCCTTTCAAGTGACTTCTGAAGGTATAATATCAATAAATTAATGTGAGGAATATATTGAAGGTGGGAGGAATTCATGAAGGCCCATGAGATCCTGTCTGTATTTATAGTTTGAATCAGGCTTAGAACAGGTTGAAATATTTTGGGAGATATCTAATATTGACAAATTCCCAAAAACTGCAAAGTTTTAAAGTAAATCTGTAGTGACATATGTGTTTGGGACCTGGGTCATCAACCATCCCGTTCACTCTGATGCATATTAAGGAGACTTGAGTGTGATGTAGACTTAGGACATTTTTTTTTTTTTGAAAGTAGCTTGTGACTACTAGCTTTTACGTATTTATTTAGAGAATGAAAGGCTTTTTTCACTTCACATCCAACGTCTTATTTAAATAATACTTACTTGTAGCATGACTTTTTTGTGGTATCTTCTAAGAAAGAGAAACGTGTCTGGTCAGATGTACTTTATGGGCTTTTAAACTGATAACGTGTGTGGTTTTTTAAAAGTTAGAAGTAGAATTATTTAAATTAAAATGAGGCCACAGACTTAGTGCTAAATCTTGGGGTGTGTTTTGTTTGGGCCATGGACTGCTCAGCAACATTCCCAACATTCATTTTGATTCCAAAGGCAGCGTGAAAACAGTCCTCACCCCAAGACATCCTGGCCTTATCACTTAGCTTCCTTCACAGGCATGCCATCTGCCTGGAGGAGTATACACATTCATTCAAGTTCAGACCCGGGAAAGACCTCAGAGATGAAGTAACTCAACCAAACTCTGACCTCCATGTCACACTCCACTTAAAAAATAAACTTAGGCCTAGGGGTGAAGTGGCTTGTTCAGGGTCACATGGCTGGTCAGAGGCAGAACCAGAATCGTATGTCTACGTGCAACCTTTGCTCTTCTACACCACAACTGTCACGGCATGCTGTGCTCACAGTTTGGCATCACAGAGTGACAATACACAAATGCCGCATCTTTTCCTCTAAGACCCCATGCGGCCCCCTCATCTGTGTTCCTTTGAAAGCCTGCAGGTATTTCCTTCTTTATTTTAATCCTATTTTGGTCAAATTTTGATGAATGTGAGAGCCTGAGTTCTGGGGCCAGACCAGGGTCCATCATCACGTTTCACGAGTTGTGGGGACCCTTGGTGAGACAGGTGAATTTTTCACTCCTCACTTTTCTGACCTAGGAAATGGGGGAATAATGCAGGTGCACATAAAAAAAAAAAGTGCTTTTTGTGCTTCCTGGAGCCAGTAAAGCATTTGAAAACTTTCTTTGGAAATCCAGCAAGTTCATAGTGAAGCTATCCAGTTATGTCCTTGAAAGTTTGAGAATCGAATTTTTAATTCTCTGCAGTCTTTTCCTTCCATCCCTGTGGGGGCCTTCTCGACTTCTTTATTGTTCTGGAGGTTTGCAAATGCTCCGAGAAGTCAAGAGTCACACAAATTGGTCCACGAAGGGCACAACAGGTTTTGCTTTTTGGTGTTTCCAGTTCTCTTCCCCAAGAAATCCGGATTTTTTTTTTTTTTAATGAGTTGTGGGGCACTGACAGCTTGGGACATCTTCTGTGACAACGACTTCAAGGACCTTTTTCAGGCTAAGAAAGGTTGAAAGAACTGGGTTGCGAGTCTTCGTTAAGATGACAGATCCCCAAGACCTGCTTTTGGCAACGCAAAGGACCACGGAGAAATGGAAACTACTAGGGAAATGATTTTACAGCTGCAGAAGGCAAGGCTTCCAGGAGCTGGGTCACAGGCACGGCGGGTCCTAAACCCAGGTTCCCTCTCCGGGGCCGCGTGCTTTCTCTGGCAAGCAGCTGTGTCGCCCTAAAACCCAGCTCTGAAAGTGCTAAGGAAGCCCCCGCCCCCCAACCCCCCAGCGCCCACCCAGGCAGGGAGACGACCTCTTCCAGGTCCCAGCTCTAAGAAACTGCTCCAGCGACCGCGGGCGCTGCGGGGGAGGGGGGGGGGGGCTCGAGGCACCAGATCCAGGACGCAGAGACTCCAGGTGTCCTGGACGGAGAGCCCTGGGAATCCCTGCTCGGTGTCCCGGTCTGTCCCCCACCCCAGCCCCCTGCAGCGGCGGCCCGGGGACGTCCAGCTCGGAGGGTTCCCCCAATGGGACGCACTGTCCTTGCTCACGGTCGGAGGGCGCAAGCCGCGGCCTCTGCCCCGCCCCTGCGGTTCTGGAAGGTCTAGGGGGGATTTTTTTTTTTTTTTTCCCCTTCCCTTCCCTTCCCTTCCCTTCCCGTCCCGGTCCGGGTCCGGGTCCGGGTCCCCGCCCCCGCCGGGAGCGGCGCTGGGCAGTGCCGGCCGCGGGCGCTTCTCCTCCTCCGCTCCCGCGTCCCGGGCTCCCGGGCGTGTCCCCGGTCCTCCCTCCCCAGCCGTCACCTTTCAACAGTTTCCCCGAAGCCCCCGCACCGCCGGCGCGCGGCTGCTCCCGGGCCTGCACGGGGAGCTCCTGCCGCCCGGGGAGCTCCTGCCGCCCGGCATTCCTCGGATTCCAGCGCCGTGACGTCCCCGCGGCCCGCGCGCCTGCAGCCCGGGAGCCCGGGCTCCGAGTCTCGGCGCTGCCCCGCGCCCCCCCCGCGCCCCCTCGCGCCCCCCGCCCCGCGGCCCGCGCCCCGCCGCGCGCGCGCGCCTCCCGGGCGCATTCCTGCCCGCGCGCCCCCCCCCGCGCCCCGCGCCCCGCGCCGCCCGGCCCGGCCCCGGGTGGAGGGTGGAGGGTGGAGGGTGGGGGGTGGGGGGAGCCGCGGCCGCCGGCGCCTGCTCCGTCCCCTCCCACCGCACGGCCCCTTCCTCCCTCCCCTCCCGGCCGCTCGCGTTTCCTGCCGCCCGGGCTCCCGCGGCCCCGGAAAGTTCTGCCCAACTTTCTCTCCCCCGGACGAGCGGGCGCCGCGGGGCGCGGGCCGGGGCAGGTTGCCGCGCTCGCCCTCGCTCGGCCCGGCGGGGTCCCCGGGGAGCCGCCGAGTCCCGGGAGGCGGCGGGCGGCCCTCCCCGCCCACCTCACCCCTCCTCCCGGCCCCCCCCCCGCCCATCTCACCCCTCCTCCCGGCCCCCCCCCGCCCACCTCACCCCTCCTCCCGGCCCCCCCCCCGCCCACCTCACCCCTCCTCCCGGCCCCCCCCCCCCGCCCACCTCACCCCTCCTCCCGGCCCCCCCCCGCCCACCTCACCCCTCCTCCCGGCCCCCCCCCGCCCACCTCACCCCTCCTCCCGGCCCCCCCCCCGCCCACCTCACCCCTCCTCCCGGCCCCCCCCCGCCCACCTCACCCCTCCTCCCGGCCCCCCCCGCCCACCTCACCCCTCCTCCCGGCCCCCCCCCGCCCACCTCACCCCTCCTCCCGGCCCCCCCCGCCCCCTCACCCCTCCTCCCGCCCCCCCGCCCCCCCGCCCCCCTCACCCCTCCTCCCGGCCCCCCCGCCCTCCCCGCCCCCGCCCCTCCGCCGGGACAACCCCGGGCTCAGGGCTCTCCTCCTCTCCTCCTCTCCTCCTCTCCTCCTCTCCGGGCCGGTGCGCCGGGATCGCGGCGGAAACCTCCCTCCCCTTTCGCCTGCTCCGGCCCCGGCTCCGGCTCCGGCCCCGGCTCCTTCCCCCCGCCCCTCCTCCGCGGCCACTGGAATCAATTCCTCAGGGAATTGGGGCGCCGCCGCCGCCGCCGCCGCCGCCGCCGCCGCCGCCGCCGCGGGGACAGGCTTTCCGCGCGGGACCCCGGGTCACGGCGGGGCCATGTGAGCAGGTAGGCGCCGTCTGCGGCGGGGGAGCCTCCTCGGCGTCCCGGGCGCCTGGCCGAGGGCCGGGGCGAGCGCCGGCGGGGCCAGCCTGCGACCGGCGGCCCGGGAGGCTGGCGGGGCCGCGGGGGCGCGGGGCGGCCGGGCCGCGGGGCCCCGGGTCGCGGCGGGGGCGGCCGGACGCGCGGCGCTCGCCCTGTCGGGGTGGAGGTGCCCGGGGAGCGCGGCCGCGCCCACCGCCTCGCCCCCTCCTCCCGGCGCCCTCCTGCTTTTGGGGAAGCGAGCGCGGGCCTGGGAAGGGCAGCGGGAAGGGAAGGGAGGAGGACGAGGTCGCTGCGGCTCCAGCGGGACGGGACGCGGCTCCCCGACGCCCCAGTTCCCACCGCCTCCTGGGGAGGGGGCTCGGGATCCTGGGAGCGAGGGAGTTTTTAATGCCCTCCCACTAGGCCCCGGCCGTGCCACCGGACCCCTGGCCTCCTTGGGTGGTCGGGCTGGCTCGTGGGGAAAGCCTGTGGCCACGTAACTTCGCAACAGACCCGCACCCCAAACTTTTCAGAGTTCTGAGTATTCACAAGTTCTGAGGGGGCTGTTAGTACGCCTCTCTTTCCTCCCTGGCGTGATCCCTAAACCTGAGTGTTTGAATACTTGTTAAGTGGATTTTACACCTTGGGGAGGGAGTAGTCTCAGGTACTGGTGCCATCTCCTTAGCATCCCCTTCCGCTTCCTTTGGTTCCTGTCACCCCCCCAACCCAACCCCAACCCCAACCCAACCCCAACCCCACCTACAAATCAAGGAGATTGTGGGGTTTGCGCTTCAGTCCGTCCTGGGACTGGGTGTTGCAGGCTCTCTGTGAAGATGTGCGGAATCTCTAGACTGCAGGCGGAACATAGGGTCGCAGGGTTTCCACCAATTAATTTAATTTCTTAATTAATGTGAATTTCTTAAACTGGATTAGTTCACCCATTCATTCAGCAAACCTGGTGTTGCGCCGCTGCTCTGCTCGGAAAACAGGATGCTGAGATACTTGAACAAGCTGTAACTGCAGCCTCCTGGAGGAAACCCACAGGCTGATGAAGAATTACAGTAGTGAGCGAGCGAGAAGTGCTGGAAGAGGCAGGGAAGGCTTGGTTTTGGAGACGAGGGGTACGGTGTGCCCTGGGTTTATAGGGTGAAGGGAGTGTTTACCTTGCAGGAGTGATCGGGAGAGTGCATTCCAGGTGGAAGAAACAGCCTGTGCAAAATGAAGAGTCATCCAAAAAAAATGAGTTCAAAAAGCTAGCTCTCTGACCCAGCTATTTGGGATATGATCGATATCAGAAATGAAACTAGAAGCGTTTTATCCCCTTACGGGAGCCAAGTAGTTTCCAGAGGCGCCTAAGTCTCTCTCTTCGGACACACCTCCTTGTCTGATGCTGTTTCCCTACAAGCAGCAGTTGCGTGACCATCTAAATTTTAATCGGCACTAATTGGCCCATGCCTGTTTTCATTAGAATGGCACTTGATTCCCTTTTAAAGGGCCACTTGACAGCAGTGGGTGATAATACTGCAGCATCACAGAACCTTGCATTAAAGTTGCTTATCTTTTGGGGTTGGGCTTAAAAGCTCGTGCGTGCGGTGGAAATGAGTGGGAGCTGCGCAGCATGACACTCTTTTTGCCTGATCTGAATGGGTGGCCACAGATGCGCAGAATGAGCCCATGGACGGGTGTTGTCCCCGTGTTTGTCATAGTTTTCTCTGCATGTAAATGTCATCAAATGTTGCTTTAGCACACTTGTAAGGATACTTTTCCTTCCTCTGAAACTTTATAAAATCGAATTCTGTTCCATCGGGTGTTGTAGCCTGATGGTCCAGGATTGGGCAGATCTTGCCTAGGAAGCACGCTGTACGTGGGTTGCCCTTCAGGGGTGCCTCTTCACTGGGCTGAAGTGGAGTCCTAGTAGTATTCACCGTGGCTGAGGTCCAGCCTTGGTGAACTCAGGCCAGTATATAGGAGGAGCAGAAAAAGAACAACTTGGGGGTGTTTGGCTAAGCCCCTCCACAAACACTTTCTCTTATCTCAAGAACAGCCCCTTGACAGGAGTTTTATTGAAGGTATAGGGCCTGCGTGAGAGACATGGCTGAAGGGAAGCTCTTTCTCGCTAATCCCGGTGCTCGCCCGACTTCCATCATTGGCTTAGACACAGTTATTATTCACACTTTAGTTATTCAGCTTTGTGCACACTGTGTGGGCCGGACAGCTGTAATGGAAAGAGAACAGTTAGACTATTTTAATATGGAAGAACCTAAAGAATTTCGGAAAAAAGTCAGAATTTTTTTTAGGAGAATTGGTATTTGTCCTGAATGACTGGGCCAGGGGTCAAAAACTATGAGGAGTTTTTTTTTTTTTTTTCCCTAATGCCCTCCTTCCTTATTAAGGGTTTATGTTTTTTTGCTCCAGGGAGGCAAACATAAACCCTTTGATTGCACAGTGAACCCCACCTGGATTCCATATTCTTATTCTTTTTCACCTGCTATGCTGCATTTGAACTTCTAGACTTCGTCACCAATGGTCCTGTAGAATCTGAACTCATTCTGAGCCTCAGAGCTGCGCTGTGCACTTCGTTAAAGAGAGAAGGCAAGAGATAAGATGAAATAGTTCATTAGCCAATTAAATCATTACTTGCTTGAGCTGATTAAAAAAGAACGAGAGAAACCAAGTTTTGGTACAGAGGGGATTAAAAATAATGTTAGAAATAAGACTTTGGGATCTCCCCTCACTGATTTAATTTACCTTCCCCTGTCAGAGCCCCATGGAGTGGTTCCTGAGCAGTCCAAGGGGTGTGTAGCAAGTTCTGCAGCTTTCCGGTTAGTGTGCTGGAGCAGGGGATCCAGCTTTGGAAGTTTGAAATGTAGCTATGTTTGAATCCCAGCTCCACCACTTTTTAATTTTTATTTTATTCATTTATTCATAAGAGACACAGAAAAGCAAGGACACAGGCAGAGGGAGAAGCAGGCTCCATGCAGGGGGCCCAACGTGGGACTGTATCCTGGGACTCGATCCTGGGACTTGATCCTGGGACTCCAGGATCACGCCCTGGGCTGAAGGCGGGTGCCAAATCACTGAGCCACCCAGGGATCCCCTCAGCTCCACCGCTTCTTAGCTGTGTAATGTTGGACGCACTCTTCAGTCCTTTGGAATCTCAATTCTTTCATCTATAATGTGGGGTCGGTAGTATGTAACTTGCCAGGATATTTGTGGAGAATTCAGTGTAATGCTGTATGTCACCCTCCTCATATTGTGCCTCGTACATAGTAGGTGTTGGATCAAGGCTATTTATATGTTTGAGGAGTTATATGTGGCCATGAATGTGCTCTTTATGTGGGTCATTTTTCCCCCCAGCAGTATGAATTCACGTGCATGCCAACATACACATAAAGCTTTGTCTTTGACCTTTTTTTTTTTTTTTTTGGTCTTTTGGCTCAAAGCATATGTGTTGGCTGGGAGTTTTCATGTGGCCCCTCTATAGCAGGAGGTTGAGAATTGCATGATCAGACAGTGGGGAAGCTTGGGGGGAGGAAAAGCCACTTAAGAGAAGGGGAGAGAAAAGGATCCTTTTCCCTGGACACCACTTACTGTCACAAGGGTCCGGTGCTAATGGAAGGATCCTTGTATTTCTAATGTCGGGATCCAGTTAATTAGAGAATGTGAAGAATGAGTCTGCCTGCTTTTAGCAAGAATGCAGGAGCTGGCCAGTCTTCACAAAGGAGTGTCTTTGCAGCCTTGATTTCTTTCCTTCTTTGAAGCCCAAATATAGAGTGTACTGCAACACCTCTAGTGTAATGCCAGCTCAGGTCTCTTGAACTTTACTGTTACCTTTCATCTGAGAAGCCTAAAGTATTTGACAAACATTAACTCATTGATCTTCATATCAGCCTCTCAACAGGAGGGATTGTTAGAAGAAGGGAACAGTTTGGAAAACGTCAGTAGAGCAGGTTTGTAGTATGTAATACGTATTCTTGAAGCAGAATGGGTTGTTACAGCCAAGAATTTCCAATGTGGATTGCATGCAGGCCAGGAGGTCATGAGAGTGAGTACCCCTTCGAGAGGTTGGGGGGAGAAAGCCTAGGAAAGTTGAAGATCTGGCTGCAGTTTTTGCCCTGGGAGGAGGAGAGGAAGTCCATGTTCCCCAGACCGGCTATGCCTTTGCCATATATTCTTTGCACACTGATTATGAAAATAGTCTCTGAATTATTTATAATTCTGAATGAAAGGATATGAGGCAATGCTTGTAGATGAGGACTTAGAGTAGCTGGGGATAAAAGGTAATAATAATGACTCCTTGTGGGGTGGTTATATGTCTAAGTTGGATTATAAATGGCAATTAACATTGTTCTAATTTTCTTTATCGTTTTCTTGTTGGTTCTCTAGTTCTTGGCTTGGTTTTGTATTTCTCTCCTTCAAGCTTTTGTTTGACTTTTTTCATGGTTCTTGCTACCGGAAAAAAACTTGTGGCCATTCTTAGATCAATCTCGTGTGTAAAGTTTGATACTTGATTTAGCTTTGTTCCTTAGGGACTGTATTAGGCCCAGCTCGAGGGTTGCATCCTGAGCCTGGTCAATTAGCTTGACCCAGAGGCCTATCGCGTATCCTGAGATCCTGTAACCCTAGGTGGCCATGCCCCATAAATGCTTGATGTTGGGAGGTGTCTGATGAGAAAATGAAAAAGAGATTGGCCAGCGGTATGGCATCCTCTGACGTGCGGAATATCTTCTTCACATTTGTGATGTTTGAAATCTTAGCACTGAACCGTATTCCTAAATTAGGAAGCTCTACTGCGTGGGTCACTGACTCGATCTAATTTGCCTTACAGATTTTTAGCTCACAGGGAGAACTCCCTCATGTTAAAATTAGTAACAGGTCCCAATGCTTTATCCTTTTTTTTTCCCCCCAATGCTTTATCCTTTACCTACCCTCTACTTACTTAATTTCCTCAGGTCTTTGGAAATCCATTTCCTGGGAATTCTTTT